TAGCCGGCGTGGTGGCGTGTGCCTGCAATCTCAGCTACTCAGGAGGCTGAGGCAGGAGAATCGCTTGAACCTGGGAGGCAGAAGTTGCAGTGAGCCAAGTTCACGCCATTGCACTCCAGCCTGGGCAACAAGAGTGAAACTCTGTTTCAAAAAAAAAAAAAGAAAGAAAGAAAAGAAGAAAGAAAGAAAATTACAGCTGTACAATATTAAGCATTCCTAATCATGAATATGCAATGTCTTTCCACCAAGTCTTCCTTGATTCAGTAAAGTTGTTTAAATTTTTGCGTTAAGATCATGAATTTATTTTGTTAGTTTTATTATTAAGCATCTTATTTTTTGCTGTCATTTTCAGAGTTACATTTGAAAACTATTTCTGACTGATGTAGAGAGTACAGTTGATTTTTTTTTGCTCACCTTAAGTTAAGGAACCTTGTTTCATTCTCACTGTTTCTAATAATTTGTGAAGTCTTTTGGGCTTTCTACATAGACTTTCTTCATTTTCTGCAAATAATTATAATTTTCAGTCTTCTCCATTCTTAAAACTTACATTCTGTTTCTTACTGAGTTGACTGGCTGCAACTTGCAGTCCCACGTGGAACGTAAGTGGTATCTCTTTTGTTGTTTGAGACGGAGTCTCACTCTGTCACTCAGGCTGGAGTGCAGTGGCGTTATCTTGGCTCACTGCACCCTCCATCTCCCAGGCTCAAGTGATCCTCCCACCTCAGCCTCCTGAATAGCTGGGACTATACAGGGAATATACAGGAGCATGGCACCAGCCTGACTAATTTTTAGTACATGATTTTTATCAGATTAATGAAACTTCCTTTTACATACATATACATATTTTTCTAAGAGTTTTTTCTTTTTAAATAAAAAAGGTTTTAAATGTTTTAAATGCAATTTCTGAGTATATTGAGGTAATCGTGTGTGTGTACTTTTTAATTTTTTAATTTTTAAAACTTTTTTTGTAGATGATGCTACTAAAAATTTAAAAATTCAGTTTTAATTTTTATGGACACATAAGTGTATATATTTATGGGGAACATGAAATATTTTGATACAAGCATGCAATGCGTAATCATCACATCATGGGAAATGGGGTACTCATCCCCTCAAGCTTTTCTCCTTTGTGTTACAAATAATCTAATTATACCCTTTTAGTTATTTTTAAATGTAAAATTAAATTATTATTGATTATAGTTACCTTGTTGTGCTATCGAATACTAGGTCTTATTCATTCTCTCTAATTTTTTTTTGTACCCATTAACCATTCTACCTCCCAACCTCCTGCTTCCCCACTACCCTTCTTACCCTCTGGTAATCATCCTTTTACTCTCTGTCTCCATGAGTTTAATTATTTTGATTTTTAGATCCCACAAATCAATGAGAACATACAATTTTTGTCTTTCTGTGCCTGACTTAACATTAGCGATCTCCGGTTCCATCCATGTTGTTGCAAATGACAGGATCTCATTATTTTTTTGTGGCTGAATGAGTACTCCATTGTGTATAAGTACCACCATTTTCTTTATCCATTCATTTGTTGATGGACACTTACGTTGCTTCCAAATCTTGGCTATTGTGAGTAGTGTTGCAGTTAATATGGGAATGCAGGTATGTTTTTGATATAATGATTTTCTTTTTGGGGGGCACATACACAATAGTGGGGTTGCTGGATCATATGGTAGCTCCATTTTTAGTTTTTGGAGAAGACTCCAAACTGTTCTCTATAGTGGTTGTACTAACTTACAGTCCCACCAACAGTGTACAAAGATTCCCTTTTCTTCACATCCTCACCAGCATTTGTTATTACCTGTCATGGTAGGATAAAAGCCACCTTAACTGGGGTAAGATGATCATCTCATTGCAGTTTTGGTTTGCATTTCTCTGATGCTCAATGATGTTGAGCACCTTTTCATATGTCTGCTGCCATTTGTATGTGTTTACTTTTTAAAAAAATTGTTGTCTGAGTGCAGCAGCTCATGCCTGTGATCCCAGGAGGATTGCTTGAGCCCAGGAGATCAAGACCAGCCTGGGCAACATGGTGAGACCTCATCTCCACCCACCCCCCGCCCACGAAAAAAAAAAAGGAAAAGAAAGAAAGAAAAAAATTAGCCAGGTGCAGTGAAGCACACCTGTGGTCCCAGCTTCTCAAGAGGCTAAGGTGGGAGGATTGCTTGTGCCTTGGAGATTGAGACTTCAGTAAACCATGATCATGTCACTGCAATCCAGTTTGGAGGACAGAGCAAGACCCTGTCAAAAAAAAAAATTGTTAATATACTAAACTGACAGATTCTTTGTTTTTGAGATGAAGTCTTGCTCTGTCACCCGGGCTGGAGTGCAAGTGGCATGATCTTGGCTCATTGCAGCCTCTGTCTTTGGGGTTCAAGCGATTCCTGTCTCAGCCTCCGGAATAGCTGGGACTATAGGTGCAGGCCACCACGCTCGGGTAATTGTTGTATTTTTAGTAGAGATGGAGTTTCCCCATGTTGGCCAGGCTGGTCTCAAACTCCTGACCTCAGGTGATCCACCCCCCACCTCGGCCTGCCAAAGTGCTGGGATTACAGGTGTGAGCCATGGCCTGTACTAGGTAAACAGATTCTTTAAAATGTTAAACTAGGCCGGGCTCAGTGGCTCATGCCTGTAATCCCAGAAATTTGGGAGGGCAAGGCGGGCAGATCACCTGAAGTCAGGAGTTCGAGAGCAGCCTGGACAACATGGGAAAACCCTAACTCTACTGAAAATACAAAAAAAAAAAAAAAAAAAATTAGCTGAGTGTGCTGGCATGTGGCTGTAATCTCAGCTACCTGGGAAGTTGAGACAGGAATCACTTGAACCCTGGAGGCGGAGGTTGCAGTGAGCCAACAAGGCGCCATTGCATTCCAGCATGGGTGATAGAGTAAGACAACATCTTATTCAACTAGGTTTGCGTTCCTTGTTATATATTCTAACCCGTAATTTAATATATATTCTTAATATAACTTGATATATATTCTAACCTATGGCTTACCGCTTCACAACTCCTGAGCCTCCTGTGTTGTGAATATTCAGCCCATGTGATTTTTATGTATCACCCTCACTCCCCTTCAGTTGTTGCCGCCTTCAACTAAAATACTGTCATCTAATCTCATGGCGCCACCTGGTGTCAAATCTTGGACATTTCTGACGTCTCTTCACCTTTCTTTCCCTATTAGGGAAACTCGTACATGCAGTTTTCTCCTTCAGTTCTATTCCTTCTCTTGTGCCTTTCATCTATTAACTTTACTCCCAAATCCTCCTTTCTCATGCTCTCCTAAATTTTCTCATTATGTTCATGAAAAGTAATTCTCTTCCTTTGCTTTCTCTGCCCCTTTATGAGTCTAAATCTACATGAATAGTACTACTAGTTAATCACAGTGAGAATACTACTACTAGTGACAATGGCAAAACTACAGCTATACATTTTGAAAGGACTTTTTGTTATTGTTTTGTTTGTTTGTTTGTTTGTTTTTGAGATGGGAGTTTCACTCTTGTTGCCCAGGCTGGAGTGCAATGGCGCGATCTTGGCTCACTGCAACCTCCATCTCCCAGGTTCAAGTGATTCTCCTACCTCAGCCTCCCGAGTAGCTGTGATAACAGGCATGCACCACCATGCCCGGTAATTTTTGTATTTTTAGTAGAGACGGGGTTTCACCATGTTGGTTAGGCTGGTCTGGAACTCCCAACCTCAGGTGATCTGCCCGCCTCGGCCTCCCAAAGTGCTGGAATTACAGACGTGAGCCACCACGTCTGGCCTGAAATGACATTTTATACAATAAAGTGCCAGCCAGACTAACCTTCAAAGTCCTTGAAAACAGTTAAAATTCCCTTTAAAATGTTCTTAAATTTCAGGTACTATTGAACCATCTAATTATTTCTGCCCAGGTTAACATCAAGCTCATGTATTAAAGAAAAATTATAAAACTGTTAATAAATGTCATTGTTTCTATGTTCCTTAATTACAACCTTTGATAAATTTGGAGTTTCTACTTATTTTACTGCAAAGACTCAGTTTTTCATTATGAGTTACATTGCCTAGAAACAGAATCGCTGTTCATGACGTGGTTTCCATGGAAAACAGCCCACCACAGCTGCCCTTTTGGTACATAACTCATTTGTAAGATAGAGATTGCTAGTAACTGCATTTCTAATTGTTTTACTCACAAGGTTAGAAAATACTGTAACCAGCATTCTTCCCAGTCAGGGAAATGACTCATGGATAAGCTTGGCCAGTTTAGCAGTTTCTTCGTTAAGTTAATTCTGACTTTGTTTTATCTCTAAGGGATATATCGGAGAATGGCAGGTAAGTCAGCTGAGGAAGACAGACCAGAGAGAGTAGGGCTGAAATTGACCTCTTTAATTCCTGCAATGCCAACGTGTCTGCAGAGGAGGTAGTTTTCATGGTTTGTCTTAACCTATCCAGTCTTTTAGTAGGCAGGTACTGAGTATTTGCTTATTCAAAAACATAGCAACTATTGATTTCAGAGTAGGCACTACAAAGTATTTTGGACCCATTACTCTGGTTGCTGCCTGAAAATAACAATGTCTAGATTAATCAAAAGAGAACTTCAAATAAAATATAAAATCTGGTAGAACGCATAACTGAATGACATGAAGTTCTGATGTTTATGGCTTTAAGACAAGACCTATTATTGTAAATAATAGGTCTTATTATTGAAAGAAACTAGTTAGCTTGTGTAGAGTTGCTGCACTATTTGAAGTCTAGCATCTATTTAAAAGGAAGGTTTAAAGTTATTCTTATTTCCACATTCTAATCGTGGAGTTTCAAAGGTGGACTGGAAAATAAAAAAGAAGTTAAAGATTAGGCAGACAGTTTGACAATAACAGCCCTTACATAATCCAGGCTGACAAGGGCACCCTGATACTACAGTGTGCTGAGCAAGCAGTCAACCTGCCCATTCAGTTTCCTACTGTGTTTTTTTGCTAAATGCTTTCTAACCTCTTAATGTCTCTTTTGAAAGGTGGGGACCCAAACTGTATGCATTGTTCCAGATGCGCTCTTGCCAAAGCAGCATAAAGCAAATGTAACCCTTAGGAAGAAGGCTCCCTCCCTCACTAGGTAAGTACAACCGGCAGCCGTGGCCAGGGCCAGCCCACTTGCCCGCTAGACCTGCCATACCTTCCACTGCCAGGATGCTGGTGGGACCTCATAAAACTGAACCTGCTAATCCACAGGACCTGTGGGTTTCAAGTCAAAGGAACTGATCAAGAGCAATCTCTGTCTTTACAGCCTCTGATTCCATCCCCTCCAAGTTCTTTCTCAATAGTTTGCATCTATTGGGCTCTTTGCCAATCAAGAACATCATCCTCCAGTTTAATAATTTTGAGGTCAGCTAGAATTTATTAAAATGATGCTTTACCTGTAATCTTGGAGCGGATTGGACCTGCTACTTTAGAGCATTCTCTTACCTTTAGAAAGAGCCCTCTCGAGCATTAAGAATGAAAGTATTATAGTGTAGGTTCTCATATGACACTTGTGTTCTGCTGGGAGGTTTTTCTTATTTTTTAGAAAAACATATTCAGGCCTGGCACGGTTGCTCATGCCTAGAATCCCAGCACTTTAAGAGGTGTAGGCAGGTGGATCACCTGAGGTTAGGAGTTTGAGACCAGCCTGGCCAACATGGTGAAACCACATCTCTACTAAAAATACAAAAAAAAATTAGCCAGGCGTGATGGTGCATGCCTGTAGTTCCAGCTACTTTGGAGACTGAGGCAGGAGAATTGCTTGAATCCGGGAGGCACAGGTTGCAGTGAGCCGAGATGATGCCACTGCACTCCATCCTGGATGATAGAGTGATTAAAAAAAAAAAAGAAAAAAGACATATTGAGATTTACTTTAAAATGAAGTTCCGTACATACACATTGAGTAGAACAGTGGTCCCCAACCTTTTTGCACCAAGGACTGGTTTCATGGAAGACAAATTTTCCATGGGCTGGGAATGGGGTTGGGAGGTGGAGGGGATGGTTTTGGGGTAAAACTCCTTCACCTCAAATCATCAGGCATTAGATTCCCATAAGGAGCGTGCAACATGGAACCCTCGCATGCGCAGTTCACAATAGGGTTCGCTCCTTTGAGAATCTGATGCCGCTGCTGATCTGACAAGAGGTGTAGCTCAGGCCGTGATGCTTGTTCACTGCTCAGCTTCTGCTGTGCCACCCGGTTCCTAACAGGCCACACCAATACTGGCCTTCGGCCCAGGGGTTGGGGATTCTGGAGTAGAAGAAGTAAAGAATTGGTTCATAAGCTAGGTTAATATAGTACTATGTACTGACCTCGATTTGGTAATATTTTAAAATCATTTTTTCAATATGATTACCATAACAGGTTGTTTTTAAATTCCTTTTTTTTTTTTTTTGGCAGAGACTATTTGACTCATCCCATTTCTGAATAAAACCACAGCAATGTTGTTTATGTTGTAAATCTTGAGTTCCCCCAACTTGCTGGTTAAGCCTCCCAAAGTTCTCTAAACCGCCTTCTAGCTAAATGTCAGTATATTTGAGATAATACTTAAAAATGTAGAACCAATGTTCTTTATAGAAATACGATGTTTTTAGACTTATTTATGTGGCAAAAAATGGTCACATGTGTTATTTAAGGTGGAGAACTTTTAGAAGCAATTTGCTCCTTTGGCCTTGAATTGGGCCTGCTCTGAAATGAGTTTAAGGTCATGCAAGATTCTCTCTGATATGTCATGACATTACCAAAACACTTTCATTGTTTCAAAGTCCACTTGAAACGCTACGACACATCCATCATCACTTGCTCTCACTCGCTTTGAAAGGGGTCTAGCTGAGAATCCAGCTGGTCTCATTTCTGATCTTTGAGGTGAAATCCTGGGTTAAAGCACATTCTTAATGTGCCATAGATTGCTGCAAACAATACTCTTCTTAGCTATTTATCTTTAGCCATTTCTTCCAGTGCAGAAATTCATTGATGTAACTCTTGCCATTTTGTTTGTCGATTAGTAAAACTCCCCAAAGTAAAATCTACCTGATCTTCTATAATTTTTCCTCCTTGATTTTCATCTGTTAATGTTCTTTTTAGAGCAAATCCTTTGAGTGAGTTTGACTCTGAGCTATTGTCGTCAGAAGCAGGAAAAGAAAGCTTCTGCATGAAAAGTCAAGATCTAATGACAGAAAGAGATTTTGAATTATCTAGCCATGAATTTATGAAGGGATCTGCAGAGCTGGTGATTGCCACATCCTCCAGCTTGAGGTATCACATAGCTGGCAGCCTTGGAAGAACTGTAGGGCCCCTCCAGAGTTGATTATAAAGTTATTGACCCAAGAGAAGGAACAGAGACTCTGAGTGATGTTCTGGTCCTTCCCCCACTGCCCCCAGGGCTTCTCCACAGCACTGTCATCCTATCTTCCTCGTGACTAGGGGCCTGTAGGATTATGGTGACATTAAGGAATTAAAGGTGACATCTAAAGCCATGGACAGGCCAGGCGCTATGGCTCATGCCTATAATCCCAGCACTTTTAGAGACTGAGGCAGGTGAGTTGCATGAACTCAGCAGTTTGAGACCAGCCAGGGCAACATGGTAAAACCTTGTCTCTACAAAAAATACAAAACATTATCTGGGCATAGGGGCGCATGCCTGTGGTCCCAGCTACTCATGAGGCTGAGGTGGGAGAATTGCTTAAGCCCAGAAGGTTGAGGCTGCAGTGAGCCAAGATCATACACCTGCACTCAATCCTGGGTGACAGCGCGACCCTGTCTCAAAAATAAAATAAAGCCATGAACAAGATAGAACTGACTGGTTTCCTCATGGATAGATCCCTATAGACTTGGGACCAGACTGTACCCGAATTGCTAATCAACTCCAAAGGCTGGCACAGTGTGGTGTATTTAGACTCATGGGCTTTTTGCTCTCAACCTTCAGACCTTTCTCTCAGGCTCTGGGCTGATTTTAGCTGAGGAGACCAGATTAGACCCAGTCTGCAGGTCCTCCCTCTTGGATCCCCGAGGTGGGAAGGGGCCTGAGGTGTGTCAGATGGAGCTGGTATAAATAAGATGAACTCATTCCCTAAGCACACACGCCCCGTGGCTGCTCAACAATTTCTCTTGGGATTCACGTCACTAAGGTGTATGTGACTGTGACGTGAAAGAGTGAGTGTTTATACCATGATCTTACATCCACATCATAATTCTGGATCAGAACATTGCAAAATCTATATGTTAGACTCCTTTTGCGGCCAAAAGTAATTCTAGCCAGGCTGAGGTCAGAGTGTAGAGTTTGTGGACGCACCTTTATTTTGGTACAATCTGTACATCATTGCATTTCCTCAGCGGCATTCCATTCCCCTTCATCACCCAACCATCAACTAACCGTGACTAAATGTTAACTTACAAAATGTGGAAAGACATTCAGGGTCATGCCTTTTCAACTGAATGCTGATAATACGAGTATTCGAGTTGAGTTTTCTTCTTTCTTGCCTGACTTTCCTATTCACTTTCTGTGTCTTCATGCAGGCCTCTGGCTACTGACATACGGGCAGCTTTAGGATAAGGACATACCTGGTGTTCTGAATGTGTGTATCCCCCAAAGTCTGCAATCTCAGCTGGAACTGGATGGACCAGTATTCCCTCACCCAGGGCCCTGGCTCACGTTTCTCTCCTCTTCTCAGTTTACTGTTGGATTTCCCTTTCTTGCTATTCTCTTTCTCTCCAAACCCCTCTCAATTGCCTTTCCTAAAGACAGACCTTAGCAAGATGGGCCGGGACTTGGGACTTCGCACGGCACCCTGCAGTCCCAAGCCAGCATCTACTGCACCCCATCTTCAAGACTCTATCCCCCAAACAGATGCTGGAAGGCATCAGCTTCTGAGAACCCACTTTTTTCTGCATGACTAGCTTGTATGGAAGAATCTATGGAGAGGATTTCCAAGAATTTCCCACTTTTTCAAAAAATGTATGTGACTTACATTTGGCTTCAATCCAAGAGCAAACTCAGTGGTGAACAGCTCCATTTCTGTGCACATGTTGGTGGAATCTACAGAAATCGATGCAACATTTCTTTCCTGTCTGGGCTGTTTGTACAATTGTATATAAATGTAGCAATAAATATATTCTACCATCAGCCTGAGGCTTACTGCACACTTGATTCTGCATCCTGGTGGTAGGCGGTGAATATCGCTTGCCTGCCCCACTTCAGGTTCCCATCTTCTCTGATTTCACAGTTACTTCAGACCTGGCCAGTGTTTGGAGAAAGAGCGTTGAGGAGAGTTCAGTGGCAGAGCTGGGATGTGAAGCAGCATTATTAATTCATAAGATGGCAGTAGTCCTAGCACTTTGAGGTATTTTGAATGTCCAAGGAGTGAAGCTTAGAGGATTGGGTGACAGTTTGTGACACGAGTCAGCAGCATTAACAGTCACTCTGGCCGGACGCAGTGGCTCACGCCACTTTGGGAGGCTGAGGTGGGCGGGTCACGCAGTCAAGAGAGCGAGACCATCCTGGCCAACATGGTGAAACCCTGTCTCTACTAAAAATATAAAAATTAGCTGGGCATGGTGGTGCGTGCCTATAGTCCCAGCTACTTGGGAGGCTGAGGCAGGAGAATCGCTTGAACCCGGGAGGTGGAGGTTGCAGTGAGCTGAAATTACACCACTACGCCCCAGTCTGGGCGACAAAGCGAGACTCTGTCTCAAAAAAAACAAAACAAAACAAAACAAAAAGCAGAAGTCACTCTTACAGCCTTCAAGAGCATGTTGTGCTGTGATTATTTGATTGGTACTTGCTGGGCACAAAGGTGCCCCTTAAAGATTTTCAGAAAAACCCCACAAAATGTACCAACATGACATAGAATTTTCCATCTGTCACTGATGTTTTTTAAGGGTATTAAGTCTAGTTATTTTAGAGACAACCTCCTTCTACAGGGGACACATAAACACAATAACCTTTCACTAGGCAGATACAATATTGTTTGTCTAATATCAAGGAATATTTATTCCCAAAGTGGTCTCTTGTAATTTTCTTGTGAAATCTTTGGTTATCAGGCACTTTTATAACTTAAAGGATAACCACATAGTTGTGGTTTCTTATCAAATTATGGTTT